GTGGAGGGTGGTCAAAATGGGTGAAGGTGGTCAAAAGGTACAAATTCCCAGTTATAAAATAAATAAGTCCTGGGGCTGGCCCAGTGGTGTAGTGGTTAAGTTCACACGTTCTGCTTCAGCAGCCCGGGGTTCACTGGTTTGGATCCTGGGCGCGGACCTACTCATCACTCATCAAGCCATGCTGGGGCAGTGTCCCACAGAGAAGAACTAGAAGGACCTACAAACCAGGATATACGACTATGTACTGAGGCTTTGGGGAGCAAAAAAAGAAAAAGAGGAAGATTGGCAACAGGTGTTAGCTCAAGGCCAATCTTCCTCAAATAAGTAAATAAATAAATAAGTCCTGGGGATGTACATACAGCACAGTAACAGTTAATAATATTATATTGTATATTTGGAAATCACTAAGAGAGGAGATCTTAAAAGCTCTCATTACAAGAAAAAAGAAATGTGTAACTATGTGAGGTGATGGATGTTAACTAGACTTATTGGGGTGATCATTTCACAATATACACATACGTTATGTTATACACCTGGAACTAATATAACGTAATATGTCAATTATATTTCATTAAAAAAACAAATAAATAGGACCAGCTCCTGTGGTCTAGTGGTTAAGTTTGGCACACTCTGCTTTGGCAGCCCTGGTTCTGTTCCCAGGCACAGACCTACACCGCTGGTCAGGGGCCATGCTGTGGTGGCAGCCCACGTACAAAATAGAGGAAGATTTGCCACAGATGTTAGCTCAGGGCGAATCTCCCTCAAGCAAAAAAAAAAAAAGAGGAGGACTGGCGACAGATGTTAGCTCAGGGTGAATCTTCCTCAGCAAAAAAAATAAAAATAAATAAATCTAAACCCAACAGATGAGCTGCTAAGAGCTAAGATACAGAACCATAAAAGCAACATTAAGTGAGCAGACCCAAAAGCAAGAAAAATAAAGCTTCCCCTGCTGTTCATTATGAATCACTACATCACTGCACAAAGAGGTGAGAAAAATAATCTTAGTAGTTACATAAAGTATATTCTGGAACATATAATGGTAAGCCTTTGACAGAGCCACTATCAGTCCACAAAAACAAGTTCTGCTTCAAAGCATCCAAAGAAATCTCTGCAGGGAAAGTACATCCTAATAAATATCTGGATGCCCTACCTCTTACCCAGAAAATCAGAAGCTAGATTAGCTCAGGAAGAATTACAATAATGATATCATTAGTAGTGGTAGTTATTATAGTAGTAATGGTGGTAGTATTAAAGGCCGTCTCTTACTGAGCACCTACACATGCTAAGCACTTATCATACTTCATTTAATTTTCACAATAATCCTAAGATGTAGTTACTTTCAACATGCTTACTTCAGAAATGAGTATATTGAGATAAACAGAGGTACCCAATGTTTGGTACCAAATTAGTGACAGAGCGGATGCAAGCCCAGGCCCTTTGGCTCCAGAGGCCTTGTTCTTAATCTCTACAATGTACATCCTTAACCACCTTACAACACAGAAGCTGAAAGAAAGGCGAGGCCACCAGCCTTCTGTTCACTCATTGTAACTATGTAGTAATCCAAATCCTCCTAATTATGCTTCTCATTCTCCTCTAAAAGTTCTCTAAGTTCTTTTCAACTCTTAGATCCAAAAATGGAAAGTGCTTCTTTCCTCACCCCTCAATCCACCTCCATTACTTGGAAAAATTAACAGAGGCTAAGAACAAAAATTCTAAATAATTGACTCTGCTACTTTTAAGAAGGAAAGTCCGCAGGGAAGTATGATGAAATTAATAGTTAAACTGAGCTTTATGGACAGTAGGTAATAATTACCCTTGACCAAATTAGTGATAATCAAAAGTATATTCAAATACTTATGTAACCATAAATCATACAGTTTTAACAAAGATAAGGCACAGCTATTTCATTTTCAAAAATCCTGAGTCATAAAAATAGATGCAAGCAGCATTAGTAAAAGTGTTAATACTAAAAAGATATATGTCTTTTTAATGCTTTATCTTATATTAATATGTTGGAGCAACTACACTGCATGCATAGACAATTGGCAATAAAAAGTCTCACTTTCAGAAACTGTGAGCACAGCTAGGCAATTCTTGGTTTTCTGAACGTAGGATTTATTTGAAAGCAATGTAAATCACTAATTATATATTATAAAAGCAGACAGAGGAACCTAAATAGGATGGTAGGAAACAGGCAAGATTACATATGAAAAATGTAAAGAATAAAATCGCAAAGAATCTAAATGTTTTCTATAAAACATCACATTGTAAGTATGTTCTAGTTTTAAAAAACTCTACTTTGTTAAGCTTTTATTACTCAAGACAATATTTAAAAAGTAAAATCCATAAAAACCGTTTGACAGGAGACAAAATACCAACATTTACTTAAATGCTTTTATTTCACTCAACCTTTTTAAAAAATTTCTCCCTAACTCTTAAAAATAAGTTCAAAGACATTTAACACATGGTCAAATTTATACTGACATTGATAAAACTAAAATCTGTACATTTATTGACAAATGAAGGAAGCATATGATGAACACATGCATCAAAGACCTAGAGCCCCATTAGATCCTAAAACTATCGACAGTGTTTAGCTCTTCCACCTTTACGTTACACACACATACCCGTGCATGCATACACTGAGAGGGAAAAAAACCAGTGCTTAACACAAGAAATAAAGATCTTATTACTATAAGCAAATTAAATCACAAGTCAGGGTAAATCCTGTCCAGTCTCTCATTCAGTATCGTTCAATGAGAATATTCAGAGTTTCTAAGACATTGCAAGATCTTCAATGAAATCCTCAGTTTGATTGTGATTAAAACCTTTTACTTAGCAACAAGAGTGTCACAGTTACAATGATTTACAAGGGCTTCAATAAAAAGTTAAACTTCAATTAGCCAGAACACACAAGAGCCAAAGTAAATTCCTCAATCTATTCTTTGAGCATCCCAGTTAATCAGAGTTCTTTCATCCTTTTGGTGCCCAAATTTTTGGACAATGAAGGAGGAAAGCAATTGGATAAGACAGAGTGGATTATGAGTCTAATGTTCATTCAAATATACCCTAAAGGTATGTTTGCTCTTTAAAAAAAATTTACATTCTGCAAAATGGCAGGCTAAAAATAACAGGGCTGACGGGAAAAACAGAGTTGGGACAGACCATTGAAAAACTATATAACTCTGTTACCAGCGCACTAACAAAAACGTTAATTGGTACCTGGGAAGGTAACTTGGACTGCCCAGATAGGCAGCTTAATTTGGCTGAAAGCTGCCACAAGGATATAAAAACATATCAAAACAAGGCTGGGAGGTGCTCCATCAATTAAGATAAAAGTGGGACTCTGAGCCAGTGGGGGTGCTATTCAGGGGGCCATCCATTAATAGAGAGCCACACAAAACTGAGAGAGAGGTAGATTTCTCTTTCTAGGAAGAAAACCCCAGTACAAGCACTCATATTTAATGTTCTCCAATTAGAGCTAACAGTGCTCATGATGGCAGTGCAGCCCAGCTTAGGTTATTTCCTTTCCTCTGTGAAGTTTAACACCATCTCCCCCATCCCATCACTCTGATTCCCCTTGTCTAGGAAAAACATTCCACACAAAGCAATGTAATTTTTGAGTTCAAGTGACATATTTCTCCAATTTCCAACATGTATCAACAAATCCACGTTATAGAAATAAAAAGACTGTGCTTTAAATAAGTTTGCAAAGCGAGGCTATATATCCTTTTATGCTCCCTTTTCTTTTGACCATTTTTCTTTTGGAGTGCTTGCTCTTTTCTTTTTGATTTACATGAGCCTCAGAAATTACAAAAGTTAGCCACCGTCAAATGTGTAACAAATAGTTTTTTTCCAACTTATATTGACTTTATGCTAGGGCTCATGGGATTAGGGGGACTTTTAATGGTTTAAATTTATATGTTAATAGATTTCATCTTTTCTTTTCTAGTTCCTGAGATTTAATGCCTAACTTACAGATTACCCATTCCAGTGTTATAAATAAATTCAGACCTATTTTCTTCAAGTACATTTGCTTTATTTTTTACATTTAAGTCGTTCCTTTATCTGAAATTTTAGCAAAAAGTTTGAGGTAGAGATTCAGCTGATTTTCTGTCCATAGATAGCTAATACATTTTTGTATTTCACTTTTTCCCCACTGAGGTGAACTTCCATCTTTATCATACAAAACATCAAATATGTTTAGATTGACCCTCTTTTCTATTGCATTGACCTACATGGCTGAAGGCTATGACAGGAGATATCTAAAATGAAAAAAACAGAAAAGAAATGCTAGAAACACTTTAATATAAACAGTGCTGAGAGGTACTGTTTAAATGCTGCAGCTTCCCAATATATTTTAATATCTGACGGTCCTCCCCCAGGCCCCAAATCATCTTTCCCAGAAATTTTTACCATGTACATATATATAAAAATTAAATTACAGTATCTTATCAAAAGGAAGAAAAAAATCTTGAAGAAGCCTGGAAGGAAAATAGAGGTATTCTTTTGGAATCAATGGCCTACAGGACTACTCCTTCTAACACTACACTTAAGTTGCTTTGCGATAACCATTTTATAAACAATAAAGAATAGATATTAAAAAGGATGGCCAAAAAAGCCACAATTTAAGATTAGCAATATTTTGATCCAAAGAAGCAACAGATCTGGATATTTGAATTTCAAGAGTACAAAGACCAAACAATTAAATGTTATGCTGTAAGTTTTTCCAGAAATTCCAGTTTCCTTAATTACATAACTGCTGTGTTCTACAAAAGCTTATCCAGGGCCTTAAAAATATCCATGTACTAATCAGTAATTAGGCTGCTTTTACTCCTCTAAAAGTCTTATAAACATCTTTTTAAATGTTTTTCTTTACTATAGTTTCACAAAATTATACTATATGAAATTAGAAGACTAGGTTTGGGTAAAGGAATATAAATAGCAGGACATAAGTACAATATCTTATAATTTTCTCATAAATTTTTCCGAGTACTTACTTATCAAGCAATGTATATTATGGGAGTAACGAGAATTGTCTGGGATGGTGAAGTTGCCGTCACAGATAGCAACCTGACTCTCACCAAAAGGAAGAGTGAAGAAACAAAGTTTATATAGTAAACATCCCAGTGCCTGTAAAACAAAAAAGCATGAATATTGTCAGAGCTCAAGTCATCAACTTAACCACGAGACATAAAAATCGCCCCAAACCAAAAACTAAATACGTTATTAAAAAAAAAATCCTGTTTCTATACTGGATGAATCTTTTCACAAATCACTGCTTAAACAAATTCATGTGCTTAATTTTTGAAAGGACATTTAACTGTATCATTTCCATTTTTTTCTATCACATCTGTGGCAATATGGCTGAATTAATGCTATCATAAAACTCTAGATCATGAATGACATAACAAAGATTAGAAGAGACTGGTTCCTTTTGGGAAAAAAATTATACTTTTATTTCTTCCACAAGGAAAATATATACAGTAATGTGTCCCTGAACAACAGGGATATGTTCTGAGGAATGCGTCATTAGGCGATTTCAGCATTGTGCGATCACAGAGTATACCTACACAAACCTAGATGGTACAGCCTATTACATCTGTAGGCTATATGGTACTAATCTTACGGGGTCACTGTCGTATATGTGGTCCATCGTTGACCAAAATGTCGTTATGCAGTGCACGACTGTATTTAGTACATAACTAGCATATAACCAGCAAAATAAGCACAAGGCTTCTCCTAGCAGCACTTTTAAAACATTCACTGTAAAACATGTTTTAAAATCCTGGGATTCCTAATATGAGTTAGCCATCACAGTTAAATTTAGCAGACAACCATCAATACCTTTTAACCGATTATTCACTAAGCACGTTTCATTTTATAAAAATAACTTCTCTCTTTCTGTGTATAATCCTATAATTTTTATTCTACATCATACTAATCATATTTGTACCTGGGTAATCTATATTAAAATTCAAAAAGGAAGGGCTCTGCCTGCTTCACTTTCATGCCTCCATAAACATCACGGCACTAATAAAGCTACTTGCGGACAATGAAGACAAAACACCCTAAAACACAAATTACATCTGGAAAAGTAACATAAGAAATTTCTAGCTAAACTGCTAACAGCTCAAACCTGAGAAGCAGTAATAAAATGTGATTTTTGGCTCAAGAAATCACTATGTTATCACAAGAAGTGGCACCTATAAGCCTTAAGAGTGTAAAGGGCTTTTCTCATTCTAAACAGATTGTATAAAATTATCCAATAGTTAGTATACAATTATATCAGCAATACTAAAATTTGGCCTCACTCTAAAAATTAGCAGATCACCTTTCCTTTGTTGTATTTTCTGCACACATCAACTTAGCAAATGCAACTAACAAATACACTAAGTTTTATTAATACTATGAAGATCACAACATGCAGAAATACCTTTGTAAGTTCAACAATATTAATTTACAAAACATTATTTTCAATATTATAACAGCCATCCAATGAAAAAAGTTTAAAGGTTCCAGAAATTTCAATATATTAGTTCAAAACATTATTGGGTTATGTATTATATGATTTAAAAAACTGTAAAGATTCTGAATAGAAATAACCAGTTCAATGTGGCTTAAAAAATATTTATGATGCTTTTTTCTATAAGGAAGATATTTTCAGCATTTATGCAGCAAATTGAGCATAAGGCTCCCTAACAGCATTAAAAAAAAATACTATTAATGGTGGAACATCCGCATTCAATTATACCTTTCTACTGCCCAGATGACAATCTAAACAAAGGAAATCTGCATTTTAGCCAATTTTATCTTATCAATCAAACCTTTAGTAATGTGTCCTGTGTTAGAGTAAATGTAAGAGTTCCCAGATAACAATTTTAGATAGCACTGCCAGTATACTTAACATAAATCTAAAATTCTCGCTTCACATAGTGTGAACACAATGAGGTGTCCCAATTTTTTCACACCAAAAGCATTTCCCTCTTTATCAAATTTGATAGAATGAGAATTGTTCAGGAAACAGGAGGGAACAAATGACCTAATTTTGAATGCTGAGTATCACCATCTTCAATTTTTCTCATTAAACGGTAACATGAAGAATCTCTTACTGAATTTCCTAATGCTTAACAAATCAGCATCCGAGATCTCAGGATAAAAATTACCTACAATGGAAACTTCCGGGTGAAAAAAATTTTTTTCACCAAAATATAAAGTGCTAAATAAATACTTTTATGCAAATATCATAACTGTCTGAATCAGTACTATCCTGAAACAGGATCAGAAATAGAATTCTCGACCAATATGGACTGAATATTTTTTCTGGATATTCTTGAATTCACACCTAAAATGTAGTATACTTCTGTTTTACCTGAGCTAAGACAAGCATAAAAATGGCATCATGGAAATTAAAATTCTATCTCTGTCAAGCATACAAACATAGATTCTGTTTTCTGATTATTTTTCATATTGTTCTTTCTATCTTTATCTATTTGTAATCCCACAGCTTTACCATTTATCCACTATGGAACTACTACTCCATACACTAATTACAAATGGTATAAATTTTAAACTTATCATTGACAACTTAGTATGCTGTCTGGCATGCATACTAAATCTGGTGAAAAATGAACAGAAAAAAAGATTCCTTCCTTTTTGTTAAGATATTAGGTAACAATCATGTGCTTAGAGATTAAATTATTTTTTTTAATCAACTCTTGATTTCAAAACAGTAGTCAAGCTATGATGTCTGTTGTTTCCTTTGTCATTGAAATACTCTTTTATGTAATATAGATTTCAACAGCAGTCACAAAATTAAGCCAGAAATGACTTCCACCATCACCTCTCCTAAAACCTTCATTTTATAAATTAAGACCCAACTGAGTTTGCTTTCTACACTGTACTATAAGCCATTTAATGAGTCAAATGTTAATGCTGAGGAAAGCAAACTGAATTTGAGTTATATAAGCTAGTGATATATAAGCAGTATCAAATTTACTAAATCAAATTATTTATTAACAAATAAATTATTTATGGCTTGATTCAATTATGTGTATGGTTAAAAATTCAACTACCACAAGATTTAAGAATCACTATTTGGTGAAAAAGTGTATATTATATAGACAGAAGAAAAGATATCAAAGATATTCCTTTTTTACTACCTTACAAAAATATTTGGTATCCCAACCCCTATAAGAGGAGGCCAGGGCAAGAGAACCAAGGAGATATTCATTTGATTTCACACATTATGCTCAACTACTTTCTAACATTATGTTTTAAAAACAAAATAATATGACTTTTCTTATAAACTCGAGAACTATTTTCAAAGGAATTATTTCCTCCATCCCTAATGTGTTCACTAGTAGTAGATATGGCTAAATACTTGTTGAATTTAAACAAATTCACATTTAAAATAGTTTCCTGCTAGTTTATTAAATACAGCCAAAACATAGTTTACTCATAAAAAATAAGCTCTAAAGAAGTACTGACATTCTAACATAAAGTTCAACTAACAGAAACATGATCTATCTCAATAACTCAATCCAGACATACATGCTAAATGAAAAAGAACTTCAATATATAGAAGTTAGTCATTGGTATGTTTATAATTAGAAAAAATTTTACTCATGTTCGTTTCCATTTAAAAGATCCTAAAATACTCCAGAAAATTATCACTGTTAATTACTTAAGAGTTATGTCCATCTGTTTCATACTGTCATCAACCAAAATTCCACTCAATCAAAAAGATGTTAACACTCATATATAATCTAAATTCTAAAAAATATTGTGGTAAAAAGTTACATTATATGGGAGTCCTTTATTTGCTTTTTTATACCTAAGCTTTCCATTTCAGGACTAAGAAGATAAAATGTTCTAATATTTTTCTTCTCCTGAATAAGAAGCTCTACTGTACACCATTCTCTTCAACTTATTAGGAAATACCTTTTGAGGGACAGAAGGAAAATAATCAACTGAATTCAGATTTTTTTTATTTGGTTAGAGAAAATGCCAGCCTTCCTTGGCCTTACCCAGATATCAGCCTTGGTGGTGATGGGTTTCCCTCCATAAAGGTTGATCATTTCAGGGGCTCTGTATGACAGAGTTGTATACCTGGCAGTAAATAAGTGAAATGGAGTGGAGATATAAAAAAAAAAGACAGATACTGCATTGTTTCTACATAAAATACTACAAAAACTTTTAGGTTCTATAATGTTATATAGAAATAATTATATTTTTAAAAGCTCATTAAAAGTCCATCAAGGATTAAACAATACAAAGCATCTATACACATTTTTATTCAACAAGTGCAACAGCATCTCTACTAATATAAAAACTTATTTTCTTTAATAGAAAAATCTTAAATAAAGACAATGTATTGGAAACATAGTTTTCCTTGAATTTCCCATTTGAAATAATATAATTTGACTACAAAAATATCCTTATCAAAATATTTTAGTCTATTAATTTAAGAGTAAAACTTCTACCCTCTCAAAAAATTAACTTATGTGTTTGATAAGGAGTTTGTTTTTATGGACTCTAACATACTTCATTGCACATGGTGGTAAATCTCCTTTAGGTTTATTTTTATAATTGCTGTTTTAAAAGTAATCTAGTTGCCATAATTCTAACTACACTAATTAAGTACACTTCTAATGCTGACTGCCATCATAAGCTATTTGGAATTAAAAGATACTATGAATAAATATTTACCAATATAAAAATCCCAAATCCATCATGAACAGAATATTTTAATGAAGTAGCGCTCAATTTCACAGCAAAAATTATCAAAATATGGAAGGACTTCCTATATCATGACATAATTTAAGATTCATTTTGAGTGTTTATATGTTTTATTTTACATGAAGTATCTTAAAGCTCAACATTCTACCATCTTACTTTTTCCGAATTACTCTGATTGGTAAGACATTCTGAGTGATACTACTACAGAGGAGCACCTAAGAAACCAGAATACGAACTGCCTGAGAGCACGACTTTTGCTCACTGCTATACTGCAGCACCATGAACATGTCTACTACATTGTAGGCCCTGAAAAATATCTGTTAACTGAATAAATGGTGAGCCCACTAACTCCTCAATTGAGTCACAAAGCATAAGAACCCCTTATGAGCTTGTGTTCATCATTAATGCAAAATTCTACTGAACTTTATACTTCGGATCTCAACAGCAAGAAATGAAACTTCCATCAAGTCAGAATTCTTGAGCAGAATCCTATAACAGCCATGATATATCATAATCCAATAATTTTTTTAAAATTATATGTGTATACATATATCCCCAAGAAGCCAATTTAATAATTTATTGTTCTTGTGTTCTTCAGGACATTTATATGTTTACTACAGTGTCTGTTTTTATGGAACCTAACATAATCATCATAGGCTAAGTTTCCTGAGTAGAAATACCTAGTCTAGAAATCCACAATGTTAATCCACAAATGGACCAGAGTAGTATCAGCTCTACTTGAGCTATTTCGAAATATATATTGCAGTTCAAATGATAGCTCCTAGATAGTCTTATTAAACAATTGAGAATTTCTGAGGAAGTGAAGAAAGGCAACTTAGAAAAGGCAATTACTTAGAAATTCCTATTCTGACAGATCTTTCTGCATTCTGTGTCATTTTATTAAGGTAATTTAAGATATAAAAACAGTTCTATTTTCTAAAACTAGAAAACAGAAAAGTCAGGGAAGGGTCCTTACGGGTACTCTAGCAAACATGGAAAGTACAAGATTAAGAAAACAGATACGCTTTATATATATGAAGCAGATTTGACTTATATTGCTACCAGAGAGCTTTCCAATACACTATTACAAAGTAACACGTCTTCCACATAGTTTTCAATGCATACAGAAGTCAATCTTAATATTAAATATGAAGTAAAAGCTCAAATGTCTTCAAGTAGTTTAATTTTTTCCTAACAAGCATAAATCTTCAGTATCAGTGAAAACAAAGATGTTTAACTGAACTCAACAATCATTTAAAACTCCTTTTAATAATTCCACTAATCATTATAGCTTATTTAACAAATTTCTTGATAAATTTGTTGACAATATAGATAAAAAACTTGTATCCACGGCAAAATATATTTTCTATTGAGCTAGAGCAGACTTAGTTAACCAATGTCTATGGCATAGAAATATTTTGAAGAATCTACAAGTAAAATATCTAACATTTTTATTTGCAGATTCAAGTTAACTAAAAATTCCCATAAGACAAAGTACAATAAAGATGGACACTTACTTTTTAATTTCTTCTTCTACTACATTAACTCCATCTTTTTGAGGATTAAGAAATTTATTAGTGGCACTGCCAAAGTCACAAAGTACATAGTTTCCACCATCATTCAACAAAATATTTTCTACCTTAAGAAAAGAAAATCAATAATTAGTAGTATTCCAAAGTGAAAATTATCTTCTTACAATCATGTTTTTACACAATAAACATGAAAAGTTTGTGCCATATTATATATAGAGAGAGAGACCTAAGATACTTCAAATTATGAGAAAGGACAAATGAATCAGACCAAAAATATACTTTACTATGTCTACTACTTCTCTTACTAAGAACAGAGAAGTGCTTCTCCCGTCCCAGGATGATTTTTGTAGGGGCCAAGAAACTCTAACTCCTCTCTAAACTGCTTCAATGAAAGAGAACTAGTAGCAGTCAGAATCTATACTATACCTCCATTTTTCTCCTTTTCTGACACTTCGGCTTATCTATAGACAAGTAACAACAAAAACCATTAAAATTCTACCCCTGATTGACTCTTAATACCATTTTTGTCTAAAATATTACACTGAAAAACAGAGATTTGACTTTATGCCTTAACTTGGAGATCAGAGTTGTAGTAACTTAAATAAACAAATTACATACACAGTTTCTAATACAGGGGAGTATGGATTCACAGCCCAACTCTTGCTTCTTACTAGCATGCATACCCTTGCACAATTTCCTTAACCACTCTTGAGCTTTAGTTTCCTTATCTATAAAATGGTGAAGATAATAATATCTATTACATGAGATTATTATAAAAATTAAATGAAAATATATAAAGTACTTAGAACAGCACTGGAATAAAGTAAGCACTCAAATGATAGAATTATTATTACATGTTTTTTTCACAATATTTTTTATTTTTATGATACAATCTTGGATGAGTAATTCAATTTCTCTCCACTCTACCAAAATACTCACATTACAGCTTCTTTATAATTTTTCTTCCATATTTCATTTTAGTCTACTTTTTTAAAAGATTTGCACATAATAAACATTTGTACCAAAAAAATCAACTTAAAACCAAAGTGGGTTTGCATAAATTTACACATGTAAAAAAAAAAACTAAGCATATGATATATGGCCTATGCCAAATTATGCAGTTCAATGTCTTTTCTGGTTTTAATTAAATCAAGAAGATTCAGCTGAAACATCAACTTTATATGAAAAGAGTTAATGAGCTTTAACAGCACAAAAAAATCATACCAAATCATTAGGGAAAATATAAAAGTTACACATTCAAAAGAACTGAAATGCACTATACTGGTTATCCAAATTAAGGGACAGAGGTCTGCAGTCAGGTATTTCAGTCTTGCCTTAACTTGTATCCTTTGCCATAGGTTTCCCTAGATGATGCTTTCATGGTTAACAACCTATATTCTAAGTGACATCTTATATTCTCTCATATCTTAAGAGCATTTTATAATAACCTTTCATAAATTTTACATAACCGGTCAGAAATGGGATTCATTCATTTATTAAATATTTAATGAGACCCTGCTATGTGGCAGGCACCATTCTAAATGCTTGGATACATCACTACAAGAGAAAAATCCCTGCCCACAGAGAGCTTACAATCTAGTGGAAGAGGACAGAAAATAAACAACAGGCATAATACACAAGCAAATTATATAGTATTTTAGAAGGTGACGAGTGTTAATAAAAGGTAGAGCAAGTACAGAGTGAGAATGCTAGGCTATAATTATAAATAAGGTGGCTCAAGACAAGCCTCACTGAGAGGGTGAACCTGAGCAGACCTGAAGGTGGGGAAAGGTTAGCCATAGGATATCTGGGCATAAAGTATTTCAGGAAGAGGAATTTTTGTAATATTAGTGTTTGTGGGCATCAAAGAGGACACCTATGTTTCTAAATGATATGTGTAATGATATCCCTAGCTATATGATACCAGGAATGTTCAATCCCCTTCGGAGACTTTTTTCAGTGTAACAAGTTGGTACCATATACAAGTGGTCAGGTTCACAAAAAGGTAATAAAGAGAATTTAAAGACAATCACCACCAAACTATAGTAAATTATAAATAAATGAGTAAAGAGACCCATTTACCATTCCCTCCAGCATCTCTGGAAAACACTCCGATGCTTAATGTGGATTAGAGGAAACAGGAGGGGTGCCAAACTGGGAGAGAATAGTGTGAAGGAACATTCAACCTATGTCAGTGATGTTCACACTTTTGTTCAAATGAAAGCTTTTAAAGAAGCCTACTATGTAAAACAGAAGCAGAGTAGAGGGCACAAAATCCACCTCTACAGCTATGCTAGAAACCTTCAGGGTCACAGAAAGCACAATTTCCATTCTACAGTCAGTCTTTAGATGGCCTCAGGAAACGTAGCAGGGGACAGAGACCAATCTCAGTGCTAGTAATAAAAACTGGTTTAGATAAAGAGAATCCAAAAACATTTTAACTCCAAAGTTTAAGATGTATTATCCATAAGTAGTCTAAAGTTCGTACCTTCAGATCCCGGTGAATTATTGGAGTCTTACATTGATGCAACCTTGCAACAGCTTCACAGGTATCACAGAAGATCTGCAACACTTCTGATTCTGTAAAACCTGTCTGCAGCTTCTTATTCATCTGATTCACTACCTGCCCAGCTAACCAAAAAAGTAATTTTGAGAGGACATATTTTTAATAAATGAAGTTTATCACAAATAAAGAAATTAAGAATGCCTTTATGGTCTCAGGTAATGGGGAATTGGCTTTTTCATAATTCTCACGTAAGGATACTTATTATACCACATTGTATTGATTCAATGACATACATTTTTTCACATTTTACATCTCTGAGATGAAAACATCTTAAGATAGATGATGTCCTACTAACGCTAGTGGCCATTTTTTAACATTTTGACATCTCTGAAGCCAGAGCATACCTTATAATTGATGGCATCACAAATTTGAAGAAACAGTTATTCCACACTGTGCTAGTTACTGGGTAAACAATGGTGAACAAAAATAAGTTTCTATTTTCATGGAACTTATAGTCTAAAGGCAGAGATAAACATTAATCACACAAATAAATGCATATCATAATTACATATAATAAGGGTAATATGAGAGAAACTTAAATTTAAATTGGTGAAGGAAGATGGGGAGGAGAGAATGTCAGCTAAGACCTGTCTAAGGAAGTGATATTTATGTTGAGACTGAAGGATAATTAGGAATTAACCAGGCAGAGATTTGGGAGAAGAGCATGCTAGCAAAAGTGAGTGACATGTACAAAGGCCTCCAATTTGGGAAAGAGCTTAATGACTTTGAACAACTTAAAGAAAGCCAGTGTGGATATGGTCTAGGAAAGAGATAAGAGAGTAAGGTGAGATGACACTGACAATGTAGACAGTGATCAGCCGTACTTTAGATTTTATCTTGAGAACCAAGGAAACTTCCCAACTTGACTTTTGAAAAGATCTCCTTGATTGGGGGATGGGGGGGATCACAAGAGTGGAAATGGTGAGATGGGTTAAGAGGCTAATGCTCTAACCCAGGTAAGAGACAATGGGCAGAGTAACTTACTAACATCAATAGCCACACATATACGAATGAGCCCTGAGAGGATTACTATGTATTACAATATACTACAATTGATAGCCTAATAATGACAATTCTTAATTATTAAGAAAAAGTTAACTATCATTACATTCTAAGAACACAAGTAAACACATGATTCATTCAGAAAGCATTATAATAAAAATCAAGTTTGGGAATTTAAAAAGGCAAGCTTATGTTAACTTGAAACTTTAACAAGATTGGATAAATAAATGATTGCTACTTTCTAATCTGTATGAAAGTGCATATACACCTGCTACTTTTATTATTACTGTCTAAACAGCATTCTCAAGTATTTTCTGAAATAGAAATAGTTGGTTTTTTCCTTAGAATTTTAAAGCAGAAAAAACATTAAATTTTACCTATCAATCCTCAACTTTCAGAAAACAAGTCTATTGGGATGTAATTTGTTCAGGGTATCTCACAAGACTGAGGCACCTGACCAGGCAGCAATTTCTTCCATCCTCCAGCATGTCGGACATGCTGACTCATTTAAACCCAAAATTAAACAGGATGAAAAGTGTTTTATTGGTATTCATTCACATTCTTGAAATATAATTTCACAGCTAAAGAAATCATAACCTTGAACTAATTCTACCTCTTCCAAACTTTCAATGTTGTAATGAGTTGAATAAATTTTAAAATATTAAACCTCTTTCTTCTATTCAGAGATCTTTGGGCTAGAAACTTTGAATCACAAAATCCAAATCCCCAGAAAAAGCTAAAAGCTGTATTTGACCTACATTTCAAATGTAGAAACAAAGTTTCATTACCCAAAATCAAAGTCTTCTGAAAATTAAAGAATATTCCAATGAAAAATTTAAAAATCAGATTCAGAAATCAAACAATGTATACTGAAGGTCTTTTAAAACAGGATGCATATAACTCTCAAATCTTTCTATATTTTTCAAACAGGCATCACCTCCTAAACAAAAGCTTTTACACTCTGCCCAATTTCATCACTAAAATTTAAAAACATTCTTCTGATCTCTTGAAGTAGTCATCCAACAATTTTCATATCTCTGAGATTACACTTATCACCATTTAATTAAAAGAGCCATAAAGTGAAACCTATCACTCCATTTAAATTTTGATACGACTTGTTTTGTTCTTTTTTCTTTACAAGATAATTAAATTTTATCTGCTACATTGCATCACTGGCCCCAAATCTTCAACCCTTGCTTTATCCATGCCCTTTGCCTTGTAATTGCAGGTCCTCCCAATAAATGGGGCAGAGAGAATGTTCTGCTCTTCCATTTGGGTTCAGCCATGTGACTTGCCTTGTCCAAAAAAAATAAGGCAGAGGTGTGGTGTGCCAGTCCCAAGCCTAGGCTTTAAGAGGCCTCACATCTCCCACTTGCTCACTTGAATTTCTACCATCTCCATGAGAAAAATAAGCCCAGCATAGCTTGTTAGTGCCAGGAAGAGGATGAGGAACATGTGAAACAGAGCCACTCCAACTAATCCCAGCAAACCCACTGGCATGTGAGCAAACCCAGCCAAAATGAGCAGTGTCACCTCATCAAGTTCAGTTTAGAACAGCTGACCCACTAATACACGAGCAATAATAAACAAACAGTGTTTCATGCTATTGACTTTTAGGATGTTTTGTTATTAAACAAAAACTAACGGATATATTATCCATGGGAATTTCTGTAGGAGACCTCCTAGAAATGAAAGCTCTTTTCATAAAATAATAAAAGTAAACTCAAAATACTAACTCTGATTTCTGGAAGTCTGATACCTAAAGCACATAATTTCTCTTCAACCTATACATCAGAACATTAGCAAATTAATCAGAGCCAAACTATGAACCTAGAGAGATATAACATCTGACAAAAGATGACTGTAAACATTTGATACCCAAAACCATGATGAGGCATACCAGCTACACAACACATTCTTTTACTTTCTATACAGTTTTACCCCTGCATAATCAAAACCAATGTACCTGAACTATACACATAACACTGATTCCCTTGCTAAAGTACCTTCATTTTTAAACAATTTTATGTAATACAATTAGCTTTTATAGAGGTAGTAAGGAGAGAGTATTTATTCTCCTATTCTCTACCCCTCCAACTTACTCCTCTCCCCTAGGAGGAAAAAGGAAGTTATCTAATTGATTCATCTGAGAAAAGGAACTGAGCATGCTCTATTCAGATCCTCTGGATTCCTTCTCTTAAGATATAATTGCCCACTGAGAGGGTACATTCAGATCTGTAATACATACAGTTAGCTGGTGAAACATTTGAAGAAAACTTCTAACATACAAGAAAAGGCATAATAAAAAATACAAAAGAATTCAAAAAAAACAAAAACACAAGAAACTGAAAAAGTCTTTAAAAACTGTAATTAATAACTGCAGACAACAAAAGATTTGCATCCAAAACAAGAGCAAGGTGTATTTTAACAAAGAATAACAACAGTGAGAGAACAAGGAGGAGTTCCTGAAAATTAAAAATAACATAACAGAAATACAAAATTATATAGAGGAGCTCAAAGATACATTTAAGGAATACTCCCAACACAAGTAGAATAAAAAGAAAAAGAAGAAAAATTTTAAAAAATAAAATCAGAGGATCAATCAATCTAGGAAGATAATATCCTAAAAATGGAAAGTCCAGAAAAAGAGAACAGAAAAAATAAAGGGGAAAATACTGGGGGCCCAGCAAAAAGGATACCAAAATGACCCATAACCAAGGCACATATATCTTGAATTTTAGAATGCTGGGAATAAAGAAAAGATTCTACAAGTGTCCATGAAAAAGAGGTCACATAAAAAATTGAGGCATCATAATGCATCACACTTCTCAATAGTAACACTAGGGGAAAAAAGAATAATGCCTTCAAAATTCTAGATCAAAATTATTGCTAACCTATAACTCTTTAGCCAGCCAATATATGTGCAAGGTTTCAAAAATGTTTCCTTCCATAAACCCATTATGAGAAAGCTACTGAAAATTGTGCTCTACCAAAGGAGGTAGTAAAAACAAGGGGGAGACATGAGTAGCAGGGAGTCTAAGATAGGAGGGAGGAAAAGGGAATTCTCGGAATGACAGCTAAATGCTGTTCAAAATTAAACAGAACTGAACTCTCCCCAAAGGAGACTTTCTAAGGGAAAAAAATATGAAACTGACACAAATATTAAAATGTTTACACATACTGCATAAAGATTTACACTTCTATTGGGGAATGTGGGGCTAAAATACTAATGTATACGAAGGAAATTAGGCAAACGAAAAATGGGGTAATTATTAACTCCAGGAAAAATAAAAAGAAGTACAAGAAAGAAAATGCAATTATAGAATATTACACATCACAGTTAAATGAAAAACAAAATAATTTAAACACTAATTATTGATTTATTCCAAAAACTAAGACCATACCACACTGACAGTAAAATCCTCATCTTTTCTTGGAGACAGTATCTAAAACAAAATCAGAAATAGCACTAGCAAACTTTCTTTCAAGAGCTTCCTCAAGCCCAGAATCACATACTTCCCCTGCTTTTCTAGTTCCTTCTCTTTCATACTCTAAATATCTCACTAAAACTACAGATTCTCCTACATAATGCAGTGTAGAAATATGGAAGTCAATATGAGAAGAAACATCTCCAGGATTTTAAAGTGAATGCCTCTGAGGAGAGGGAGGGAGCAGAAGGATACAGATTTAGCCACAGCTTAACAGAACTATTTGACTTTTTAAAACATGTGCATGAACTACTTTGATAAAAATTAAAATTTCATGTAAAACAAAGCTTGCTGATTCAACCAGATAAAATTTTCAAAAAAATTTTAAAAAGCAAAAGAATGCCTTCCTCAAAACATAGCTCAGGTTATACTTCTACTTTAAAATAAAATCAGTCCCCTAAAAATTGAAGTTCATTTGGTTCCCCTTTTAAAATATCTTCTGGATGACAATTAATTAAACTCATCCAGGGTTATGATTATGCCTGATTCAATTACAAGGAGTTACAAGTAACCAAGGGCTATTAGTCAACTCTAATCCAGTTAATAATTAGCATCATAAAAGCTAGAATTCAGGAAAGTGGAGTAGGGAAAATCAATATCTTCTCCTTAAAAAGATCACAATGCTGTAGAGAAAATGAGAAACATATAAAACAATCAGGAAAACATCTAATTTTTTAATATTATATATGGAAATAAGAACAAATATATCACAATAGACATTATAATATTAATTCACTTCATTTTCCTCTGTCCTTCCCTCCTTACAAGACTGGAGTAGGGCTGGCCCCATGGCTTAGCAGTTAAGTGCACACACTCCACTACTGACGGCCTGGGTTCGGATCCCGGGTGCGCACCGATGCACCACTTCTCCGGCCATGCTGAGGCCGTGTCCCACATATAGCAACTAGAAGGATGTGCAACTTATGACATACAACTATCTACTTGGGCTTTGGGGAAAAAAAGGAGGACTGGCAATAGATGTTAGCTCAGAGCCGGTCTTCCTCAGCAAAAAGAGGAGGATTAGCATGGATGTTAGCTCAAGGCTGATCTTCCTCACACAAGAAAAAAAAAAAGACTGGAGTAAATGAGACCATATTTTCTCCATCACCACCACCCTCCTCTTCCTCCTCCAATCTTCAGGAAATGACAGGAGTTCCTGGTATCATAATTAACAATCATAACTATCTCTAAAAAATCTAAATATAAACCAGGGCTCCCTAGAACCCAAATTGTCAGATGCAGTCTGATCAAAACGAAAAAGCAAGTTTGCAGGAAATGGATTAATTGCCCCCTTCACACACACAGTAAAGTAAAAAAAAAAAATTTCAGGTATTTTTAAAAAATTATTATTATTCTGAAGGCATACTTTACAAGTAAATATTTCTTTGAAAATACCACATTAGGTCCAAATAAAATGCGGTGTTCTATCTTCTAATATTTATAAAAGAACTCCAAAAGACCACATAACAAAAGTTTACAAAAATTATAGATCAAAATGTATCCTCTACATTTATTACATTTAATATGTTAAAAGATAACATGGTAGAGTGCTGGAAAAAAATCTTACACCACTAATATTGACACATTAAGCTCTTCTTGGTTGGATTATAAAGAAATGTATAGGGAGCGTGAGGTGTAACTGCTCTTGAGCTGCTTAGATTACCCACTTTAAACCCAACAGCATTCTTCTGATTGTCCTTTTACACGCTCATATCATCACTGCAGCAACTATGACTAGGTTTTAAATATTTTTTAACAGCATTCCTTAATTAGACAGATAATTAAAGCTGAGATTGCAAGAAGTGTCTAGAATTAGGTGACAGCTGCCCTGGGAGAAACCAAAACACCTAGTAATCCATTTTAAGGGCAATTTTTTTTAGTATAAAACAAATGCAAAAAATACTTACCTCGACAATATTCCATTAAGATAAGCACTTCCCATACATTATCACTAATTGAATTAACAGCACAGTCCAAATAACCCACGATATTTTTGTGACCAGACAGCTCTTTCTGTAAAAAAGAAAAAAAATTTTAAAAACTGGAAAATGTACATTTTAAAGCTCTATTATTAGCAATGGTTTTGAAGTCTACATTAATATATTTAAAGAATTTCAAAAAGTAAGAATTAGGCATAAGTACATAATCTGACATATTTCAAAAAAGTTGCTACAGTTTCAATGGAAAGTTTACTTACATGTGATCATCATTTTCTAACAGGCAAATTTTCAATGAATACTATTTTTAAATTCAGAGAGGAAGAAAGAGACGGTTCACTCAAAAGTAAGTCTCCAAAAGTGAGTGTGCAAGACAGGCCTTTGGGACTCAAGAATAAAATATCAGAACTTCTATTTATATTTACTTTTATCTCCAAAAAAATAAATTAAGCTCTAATATTTACGAACTAACAACTATGCTCTCATTTGTTTGTTTTGCCTGCAACATGCTGCAACTTATGTGTACCTAGTTAAGTGGATTTATGAATGGATATACATTTAACTAAATAACCTAAAAAATGAACAACAGGCTACAAAAGATTTCTGTAAAGAAACTATAGGATAAAGATAATCCTAATAATACAAGTACAAGGAAATGAGAAAAAAATAGCAAATCCAGCACTTTTGCTCCTAGTGCACGATAATCAGCAGCATATAATGAGTTTAAAAATAACAATGATCTAATTAGGTCTGTCTGGAAATTAAAAAACAATTATCAAGAATACTATTTAAAATGAATTTACATCCACTATTATTAATAATAAACCTAGTTTTAACTGTGTAATATAATTTGAGATATTGGCTAATGGCAGCTGAAAATGTGAATAATTCAAAAATATATATATATAAGGGGGGATGGGTCATCAAACAAAGCTGGAAGACCACTGCTCTAAAGAGCTAATCTCCCTAGAACATCTTGTTCAAAAGCATAGTATTTGAGTGTTGCTGCTGTTGATGACTTTCTTTTATATGTCTCAAATTATACAAATTCTATTGAAAGGAAGAATTATGGTGCAATAGTACCATATCTGGGCTCAAGTTAGTTAGAGAACTTAGTCTAAGATTCCTCATTATCTTAGGGTAAATCTTTTGACCCTTTTAGCTAATAGCCTTACCTTAAAAAAAGCAAGACTCAAAGTCTAATCAACTCTAGTCTAGCTAAGAAATAGGACAAAAGAGCAGAATTCCGATAAGTCAGATTGTATAAATGTGCCTATCTTCAAACAAAAGGGGTCAAAACATATGTTGATAAAGATGTTGATACAAAATAAGAAATCCCCCTTTTAACAGCTGGATAAGTAGGACTGACAATAACAGGTGTTTACAAGGATGTGGAAAAACTGGAAGTCTGATACACTGCTGGTGTGAACATAAAATGGTTCAGCTGCTATGGAAAACAGTTTAGTGGTTCCTAAAAAGTTAAACACAGAATTACCACATGATCCAGCAATTCCACTCCTAGATGTATACTCAAAAGAACTGAAAACAGGTACTCAAACAAATACATATACACCCATATTCATAGCAGCACTATTCACAATAGCCAAAAGGTAGAAACAGAGCAAATGTCCATCAATGGTTTTAAACAAATGTTCATCAGCAGAGGAATAGATAAACAAATTGTGATTCTCACACACACACAAACACACATACACACAGAGGAATATTATTACACCATAAAAAGGAATGAAGTACTGATACATTTTAAAATGTGGATGAACCTCAAAACATGCTAAGTGAAAGAAGGCAGACACAAAGGGTCACATATTGCATGACTCTATTTATATGAAATATCCAGAACAGGTAAATCCACAGAGATACAACGTAGATGGGTGGTTGCCAGGGGCTGGAACAAGCGGGTAATGGAAAGCAACTGCTTAATGGGCAGGGTGGTTCCTTTTGGAGTGATGAAAGGTTTTAGAACTAGAGATGGTGGTTGCATAACCCTGTGAATGTACTAAACGCCACTGAATTTTTCACTTGAAAATGGTTAATTTTATATGATGTGAATTTTACCTCAATAAAACAAAAATGTTAAATATATATGTTAGCACTTGATAAACAGTGGATGAGGAGAGGAAGAGAAAAGAAGAAAAGCGAAGAGGAGAAAGAGGGAAAGTCAGGGGAGAAAGGGGATAACAAGAACAAGAAGCCATCCAGAGCACTGAGAATAAGCAACCCTTGAAAAAAAAAGAAAATTTTATTTTGTAATGTTTTTTAACTATTTAGTCTAGTTAATTGAGTCACTGAAATTTTCTTTAATGGTCTACTAAAATATTTTTCACTTTTCCTAATATTTACAAAGAATTTTTCCCTTGCTGAAGGATACCTTACCATATATTGCAGAGCATACCAAAAAAAAAAAAAGCCGGATCAACTTTACAGAATGATTTTAAAAATGAAAAGCAAAACTAATTATTGTTTGTGAATACAAACACATACAGTGAATGTATTAAACACCCATTGGAATGGTAAACACCAAATTCAGGACAGTGGTTTCTTTCTGGATGAGGAAGACAGTATAGGGATATGGCTGGGGAAGAATACACAGAAGCCTTCAACTGTATCTGTAAGGTTTTGCTTCTTAAGCTGGGTCGTGGGCAAAATGGTGTTCATTATATAATTCTCTAAATTTTTCTATCCTCAAAATATTCCATAATTAAAATGTATTTAATAAAAGAATAAAGAAGGGTAGCTTGCCCACTGAATACAGTAGGGAAGGCAGGAAAGAAGAGAGGAAGGAATTGGCTGCACTTAGCCCTACGTATGGCTATAAGGAATATACTATAAATTCCCAGATAATTTTCCAAGTTAATTGAATGATCTTCAAAGGTTTTCTAGACGTGCATAAACCAATAAGTAACTTGCCAAAAAGCTGGTTAATATTATAGTGCAAAACCAAAAGAAAATACACCAAATCTTTAAAATGGAATTACTCTTTCACTTACCATAATTGTAATTTCCCTTTTACAAACATTGAGGTCTGGCATGTTATTGACATACATTCGCTTCAATGCATGGCGAACTCCACCATGTGTCCGCACGAGGAAAACCGTGGAGAATCCACCTAGAAGAACAAGTACCAGTTAATTAAAAAGAATCAGAAACTACTTCCAAAATCATATAATATCACTGAGGAGCTTAATCTCAGAGGGAAATAAACTGACTGTAGCCAAGACAAAAATAAGAACAGTAAGCAACTAACATATTAGATTAAAAGCCAAAACATTGGATTCCAAGGCCAATCATGAGATAGCACATAGGGGATAACACGCTTCTCAAATGAACATGCCTTTCTTTTAAAGGTTAAAACACTAAAATTTCATTTTGAATGGGAATACCTCCTATATAGTATGTGGAAGATGTCAGAACATAATTATATTACTATAGTTTGGCATATACTAGTAATTGCCTACCAATCAGCCTCCCCCTCTTGTGATGACAAAACACTGATGTTATTTAATATGAGACATCAATAGATCTCTCCTCCAGTTCTTGGGGCCCCTCCTTCAGTTCCAGGCGATGAACCAACATGGTTCTAAGGTGATAATGGGAATCCCATTTCCTCTTGTCAGTAACTGATTTAGCATTGGATGTGTAACCAATTTTGGCTAACGGGACTTAAGGGAAAGTCTGCTGGGGGTTACAGGGAAAGATTTTTCACCAAGAAAAAAAGAGAGAGACTTATGAAGAAAGCCCTGCTATTCCTCCCGGCTTTTGGATTCTGTTGTATAAGAATATGATGTTTAGACCTAGGGCAGCCATCTGTGGCCATGCTGAGAAAAAGAATCAGAGAAAATGACCCAGAACACTGACATAGTTAGGCTACTGAATTAGACAACTCTGGAACCACCTCCTTCCAGAACTCTTATGAGATGTGAGATGGTAAATGTCCTCACCATTTATGCCACACTTGTTTGGACAGTGTGTTTGGACAATTCACCTGAGAAAGCATCATAACTGAAACATATAGCTAGGTATTCTAGAGAACAATTACTCCTGTCACATCTGAACAAACATTTGCACTTGAGATTTTTAAAACTCATCTTGGCATAGATATTTTGTAGTTTACTTATAGTTTAAACCAAAAAACGGTGTGTCACTTTTATCAATTAGATAGCCCTTATAAAGCAGCATCCTGAGCAATGATAAAGCATTTGCACTCCAGCTCAGTGCAAAGCAGTCAAAATAACAAGAGGGGAAAAGAGCTCCTAGGACACTCCAGAATCAGAGTCCAGAGTCTCCATATCTTTCAATTGCAGTTACAAGAAACTGCACAACTCCCCACTTGTACATTTGAATTTCCATGTATATACTGTAGGGGAAATCAAATCAACCCCCTCACAAGGCAGTTACCAGGAGAGAAGAAGATAATGTTTGGGAAAAGTACTTTAATTAAAAGCTCTAATAATGCAGGGCATTTTTTAAAAAGAAGTTCACTTAGCATTAATTTCATATGCAAACATTAACAAATGAGTAGCATTAATACAGTGCTACTTTACTCAAATTTTATTTGATTAAAAATTAAGGAAAATGCTAAAAGTTAGAATATCTCTAGATATGGAGGTAGTATAAGTATAGGTCAAGATAAATCACTTAAATAGCATTTGTTTTGATACATTTATCTAGCAATTCCCCTAGAACAATGCTTCCCAGACATAGCTATGCACCAGAATTGCCTGGTGAGCTGGTGGGTGTGTATGTTTGTATGTTTATGTTTGAGTGTGTGCGCGCGCGCGCGCGCGCATGTCTATGTGTGCAGGAATTTATCTTAAATAATTTCCGAGTTCTGACCCTAAGTCTGAATCAGAAAGTCTCAATCAGGCTTAGTATATACATTGCTAAAAATCCCTACTTAGTTTATTATTCTACTTTTGTATGTTTTTATGAATATATAATAATGTAAATTGGTTTTTCAGAGGGGGCTGTCCCCCAGATGGTTCTCATGTACAACCTAGTTAAGTATCCACTGAACCAGAGTAAAAGTTCCTGGAGGAAACATGGATCCTATATATCCATTCTCAACCACCCACAGAATAAAGTAATTTTATCCCTATGAATTAGGGAAATTGGGGAAAAAATGTTAACTAAGTTTTCTTGATAAAACCCCTGTTCCAGAAGTTAAAGTTTGCCAATTCCACTAATCCTAAATTAGACACAGATATGGCCAAATGTTAAGTTTTCTAAATAGAGAGATAATGTGTTCATCAACTATGATTTATATCTAAACATGGTAAATAATGGTCATTAATAGTGCCTGCTTTGAGAATGAAATGGAATAACATGTTTATATTTCTCTAAATACTATATTTTCCAGAACTTTCTGATTAAGTATTAGTTAGCTAATATTATCTCTGTTCGAAGAATGCATTTAGTGGGAGGTAACTAGTTAAGATATAGTAAACCAAAAGAGAAGTATCATCAACCTGCTTGCCACCAATCCATATCTACCAAATTCTTCAACACATATATTTCTTCAGAGAAGTCTTTCATGACCCAATTCATGCTCATCACTCCCTCAGGCACCTGTACCTAGAGTTTTGACTATATTATGATATACTTGAACTCTCAGCTCATTTCATACACAAATCAAAAGATTACTGGAAGTAACCACAAATTACACTTATTATATACTTCTATATCTAATTCAATACATAGTTCAATTCAAGTCCAATTCAAGGCACAGTTTTTAAATTATTATAAATAAACTTATAATTCCAATATGGGATTAAAAGAGTACTATAAAGCATTCCAAAGGTTTTCAAAATCCCATGAAAATAAAAGAACTAGTGACAGGTAATGGTCTGACAGAGCAAAATGGGAAATAATATGTATTTATGAAAGTTAACATGAAAAGGGAAATTATGGATATATTTTGTTATCTGTAAATTATACAATATAGGCAGGACATACAGTTCACATGTGAAACAATTCCATAGGCTGCCTAACAAATCTCACCTTTTTTCTCCCATGCTCCACAAAAAGTAATCACATTTAAATAAAGGAGTGGCTTTAAGCCAACCTAAACTTGCTTCAATTAGTAGTATTAAAATAACGACAATGCAGCTCGCACCTGACTGAAAACCATCTTGGAAGGCACTGCTCTAGAGATGCCAGGCACCTTCAGTGACTGTGTATGAACGTACAGCATGTATTTCTACAGACTAACTTTTCCTCCTGATAAATCATTATTTCTTCCTCCTATTAAGCCATTATTTTTCCATTTTGTCTTATTTTTAATTTATTAATTGTATATATATACTTGTTACTCCCCTCAAATTTGTTTAGAAAGAAAACATGAAAAAGTAAAAAATTATAGAATCAATTTCTTTCTTTCTTATCTTCCTTGTACTTCCACTGGCAAGGATATTATTTTACCAATTAAAGGTATCCAAAGGAGCAGAAATTATTCCTCCTATTAAGCCATTATTTTTCCATTTTGTCTTATTTTTAATTTATTAATTGTATATATATACTTGTTACTCCCCTCAAATTTGTTTAGAAAGAAAACATGAAAAAGTAAAAAATTATAGAATCAATTTCTTTCTTTCTTATCTTCCTTGTACTTCCACTGGCAAGGATATTATTTTACCAATTAAAGGTATCCAAAGGAGCAGAAATTCATCAATAACAAAACAATCGTTACAGCAGGGCTAAGTGGTCCACTGGGTTAAGTGGACAAGAAACCAAAACCTGGATTAGGACATTAGTTTTAGACTGTAGTCAGCCTGGGATAAATCATAATGAACAATCCTCCATCCAAACTCAAGGGCCAGCCACCCAGGAAATCCTCCAATTACTTTATACTGATAAAGTTTGTTTTTAAGGTAATTTTTATACAGGTTTTATCAGATAATGTTTATAAAAATGTCTAGTTTTTAAAAATTGATACCTCTATATAGGGTTCACCCTCTCCTCCCCACCTTTTTTCAACAAAAATAGAATCTTACAATACAGACTGCAATAACACATTGCTTAACTTATTCTTTTTAATAGTTGTATAGTATACCATACATATAAATACCATAATTTAATAATCTCCAAAGTGGTGGTCATTCAGGTTGGTCTGGTATTTTATTTGCCTGTTTCTTGCCATTACCAACAACAAATGTTGCACAATAAACACTCTGTACAAACATTCTTAAGGACTGGTGCTTTTGTTCCTGTAGCAGATTCCCAAGGTAAATCTACCAAAGGAAAAACACCTTTCAAATTTGATACTGCTAAATTAATACCTGGAAAGGCTGTAGCAATTTCCACTAGCAATGTAAGAGCCAGTTTTCTCACATGCTCACCAGAGCTTACTAAGACATTTTAAATTTTGCCAATTTGATAGAGAAAGATTCTCACACTGTTATTTCTATCTGCATTCCTCTGATTACCAGTGATATTGAGCATCTTTACCTCTTTTTGTTGGCCACTTATACTCCCCTTCTGTGACTTGCCTTCATATTATTGGTGTCTTTCACTAACAGGTTATTTCTTTCTTTCGTTTGGTAGGAGAGCATTATAGAACTCTGTTAATAAGCAACTACAAATATTTTCTCCTGGTCTGTCATTTGTTCCACTTGGTATACGGATGGCGTCTTTTGCAAATTAAAAAACACGTTTAATATTTCTATGAACATAAAAAACAGCATGCGAGGACACACATCAAAGCTTGACTCGGAATCACATAACTGGGGGAAGAGGAACTTAATTTTTTCTTTACATGCCATCATAGTGTTGGATGTTTTAAGAGGTGTATGTTTTATTGGTAATTTTTAAAGAAATAATGTAGAAAATTTCTTTTAAATGAATGAGAAAAGTACTCATCACCTTAAAAAACATATCAAGGAAAGCAAGAAGATAAATGTTCAGAATCTTAGCAGGCAGAATTGCTGCAGAGTAAAAGCAGCATACAAAAAGCAGTCACACAAAGTCAAGAGATTTCCAATTAACATATGGCCGTCTCAACACTAGCATTTACCTCTGCACCCGCCATAACAAAAATAACAGAAAGGATTTTTTAAGGCATAAACCCAAAACATCAAAGAGAATGAAAGAGGCAAGAGATGTCAACAAAAT